TATCTATATATCCATAAAATATTCCTTTTACATATTTTATAATCTCTCTATTTTCTTAGTTTTAGAATTAGTATAATGTATATAATCACTTTAAAAGCATTTAATGCAATTTTCTCAAATTCTACGATGGTATTATAAGAGTGGATTTCGATATAAGATAATTTTATTTCTTTTTATTATTAAAACATCAATCTCGATTTCGTATTCTCTCTCGTCATCTTGACACTCTTCTTCTTAATAGATAAAAAAATATATTTCCACTATTTCACCCTTTATCGTTCTTATTACATTTTTTATCGATAAAAAATCAAGGTTTTGTTGTGTCTTCTTGACACTCTTTGTTTGCTTTTGATTTGGTTATGAATGTTAGAATCTCTATCTAAGTTTTTTTTCTTTTTCTCATATGTGTGATTTATCTTTATAATCTCTATTAATATCATATAATATCTCTTCCTTTGCTTTTAGGGTTTACATCTGGATATATATAATTTTCTTATACAATGATTATGTAATTCTATCTACATAGATGACAAAATAAAATGTTAATATACTATCAAAATAAAACAATTACTATCATACAATTTGAGATATGATAAGGGTCGGGAGTGTTCATCAGTGCATATGACACGATCAAGGAGTAACTCATCAAGTACCACTAAGGGCAAAGGATTACAAGAATGAATCGAACGCACCGAAATGATAGAGATTCGAGCACTGTATAGGTGTGAGACTATACGATCTAAGATAATATAAAAGAATTTGTTGGGATACTCGTATCAACAAGGTGCACTTACCTTTTCATTTGATTATCCCGAAAGAATTCTAAAGTTAAGTGTGTTGACTCTGGAGCAATATCATGATGAGTGACTTACTGGATAGTATCTCGGTATGCATGCGAGTGAGGACAAAACACGCTAGAAAGTCTCGTGTTGATGTGAGGACAGTTTCGGCGTTTGTAGCAGTCGCGGGTCGTTACAGATGGTATCAGAGTCGGTACTCTCCCATTACGATCTGGTTCGAGGATGAACCAGGCGGAAGCTGGTGGACATGTGATATCCGAACTATGATGAGGGTTGGGAGTGTTCGCCGGTACAGATGGCACGATCAAGGAGCGAGTCCCCGAGTACCACTAAGGCAAAAGAGTTAAGGAATGAATTAAACGCACCGGAATGAGTGAAATCTGAGGACTTTATAGGTGTGAGATATACGGTCTAAGATAACATAAAAAACTAGTTGGACTACTCATAGTAACAAGGTGCACCTTCCTTTTCGGTTGACTATCACGAGAGAACTATAAAATTAAGCGTGTTGACTATGGAGCAATCTCAGGATGAGTGACCTATTGGAAAGTGTAACGACCCGAGGCCGCTACGGAATGTCAAAGTCGTTCTCACACACCAACACGAGACCTTTTACCGTGTTTTGTCCTCACTCGCACACATTCCGGAAAGTACTTCCCAGGAGGTCACCTATCCTAAGACTACTCCAAAACGACCACGATTAACTTTTGAGTTCTCTTGAGATGGGCAACCGAAAAGGCAGATGCATCTTGTAGCTATGAGTAGCTCAATTAATTCCTTTAAGTTATATTTGACTATGTAGTCTCATACCTACACAGTCCTCGGATCCCTCTCATTCTGGTGCGTTCGATTCATCCCTGTAACCTCTATCCAGAAGCTCGCCAGGAGCAGCTCCTTGTCTGTGCCTCTCGCACCGGCGATCACTCCCCGCCCTCCTACGGTATTCTGGGCTATCACAGAAAGTGTCTTGATATACGTGCGAGCGAGGACAAAACACACTGAAAAATCTCATATTGATGTGTGATGGCAGTTTCGACATTTGTAGTGGTCGTCGTTCGTTACACCATTTGTCCTTTGTATCTCTTTCTTTGTCTTCCTTTCTCGAGTCTCTTTCAAAAACCCATACGTCATAAAAGCACAACGCCCATGGTCATTCATAACAAAGCCCATATCATCATTAAAAAAACTTTTGAATATACCATCCGTGATGAATTGATGGTACATTAAATTTAATTTAATTTGAATTTTTTCATCTTCTAGATATTAGTAAGATAATTAACACGAGCTATCTTGATAATTCTATAAAGGACCTTGACTCTAGCTTTTAATTCCATAAAGTTCGAGCCTTCGAGGTCTATTCTAATGTTCTATCTTACAATTTAATCTAACTCTCAATTTTCTATGATATACTTTACGAAAAAACAATAATTCTTGTTTGGAATACAAAAAAAATATTTTAAAATTCCCTTGATGTTTTTAATATAAAAAATAATAAACTCGTTTTATAGCGTGAGTAACAATTTTGTTATTTAATATTGAAAAAAAAATGAAAAACAGTATGGTTTATGCATAGTGTATAAGTTTTTAAATAGTATATTTTAAATAATTTATATAACAATATATATTTAACCAATGTCTCGTTATGTATGATGGTTTGATCGTTGTCCTATGCACAAAAACCTCTAAAGCATTTTCGGAATATCACCCATAACATTTTTTTTCATAGAGTTCACATACAAATTTTAGATTTTTTAATTTAACTACCAGTATTTTTAAAATATGGTTGATTGTCAACTTATATTATTTCATTTTATCTATTTTTTCATGAATATATTCTAAGCTTCTAATATAAAAACGAAATAAAAAATCTAATAGATAATGCTATTAGATTTTATTGGCCGCATCACTACTAGCATTGTATTATAACATTATTAATGTGAAGAAAGAATTGAAAGCATGCTGCAGGAAATTTCGTTGAATATATTGGATTAATTGGTCATTTAATAGAATACACAAAATAACATGATATATATATATATATATATATATATATATATATGTATAATATATAAAA